AGCAGCTGGTGGTAGAAGTCAATTTTCAAAATGGTTCATGCGCTTTCCCATAGCTTGAAAGTTCAGAGTGATTCCAGAATGATTCAAGTCTAAACGTCAAACAAACAAAGAAACAAACAAACCCTCAAAACTGTTGTTCCACAGAAGGCCAATTCGAGTCGCTGATACATGGAACTTCTTCAAGCGAACTATATAGCTAAGAAAATGAATTGTTCTCACCGATCGGAAGCTACCTGCATAAAAACGGCTGTAATTCGCAGGCTTTTAGTAGCTACGAGCAGTCGAGAGCGTTGGATTAAACGAGGGAGGCAAAGTATGGAATCGTACGACCAAAGTCTACTTACAATGGCAGCCGTCCAACATGGCGACATCAGAAAGCTGGTATACAAGTATCTTACTTGAAATCGATCTACTAAACCAAGGATCAAGAAGATGGCGGTCATTACAAGCTGAACTATGGAAACGACTTTCAAATCCCGACTGTTGTACGCCATTTTACGTCAAGTTGTTCAAAGTTGTAAGAATTGTTGCAATCAAACCTGGTGTGCGGAAGTTCTAACAGATAATTTTCCGCATGCGTGACTTACAATAACTGAAAAAGGTATATGAAAACAGGCAATTAATTCGTGAGACGTTTTTTTCCTTTCATTTACTGTAGAATTTTAACGTTTTCGTCGACTGATAGCAAAGTTATCAGTAAAGTAAATGGTATTTTGTAAGTCGCAGAACGAATGAGAGTACATCGGAAAAGGAAAGTTAACTGAGCTTTTGGCGACTGCGGAAATTTGATATGCAAATTTGTAAATATGCAAATACTAATCAGACACGCCGCTTGGATGGGCCCTGTGTGGTCTACGTTGAATTTCAAAATTCAACTCTATATTTCTTTCAATCACTTCGCTGAACTGTAAAATGGGGCACAACAGACGATTCTTGAAAGCTATCTCGATCGTTCAGGTTGTGATAAGCGCCATCTTTTTTGCGCTTGGCATTGTGGATAGGTATGAAGTCCGCTTCATATACACCAGCTTCTTGTTTACGCCTTGTTGGATAGCTGCTCTTGTAAGTACTTCGGGCTCTTGTCCCTCATTCAAAAGTTCTCTTAATGTTATTTTAAAACAGACTAAGCTAGGACGCTTATAGTTGAGTCTCGATTGGTTTAAGTAGAATCCTTCCTGTAACAGTGGCAGGTTATCACTGCGTGTTTATATTCTAACATGTACTATTCCAAGCAGTCCACGTTCAACAGCGATGGAAGAGTGATCCATCGATCACGCACTATGTATTATTTGTCTTTGCGTTAGCCAGAGGAGAAGATAGCTATTTCTGGCCCTTGTTTTTTGTACGCTGTCAACACGGAAATTAAACCCGACATGTTTCTCGCTTGTGTGCACGCGGACTAGAGAGAAGAAAGAGGGAAAAAAAGCTACATATTCTCATTACAAATTGCACCTCGTGTTCTCGCTTGAAAGGTCAGTCTGAATGTGTCTATGATTACTTGTGTAAACGAACCTTTCACGCAACGTGGATTTATGTCGACGAGGAAATGGAGATCACGTCGCATAGCGCTTGACTGAGGCGTAACAACAGCAACAGGGAGCTTAAGGACGTTCGCGCGAAAATTTACAACTCGATAGATTTTTTTAAACTTCTACTGCGGACAGATAATGATATACTTGTTTCAGAAATTAAATCAAAATTGGGGGTCACCGACTTCGTTTCAGAGATCAAGCGTGCGGAAAACTAGTCTGATTTTGATAAATTGGTGCGCGTAACTCAGCATGGTCTCCAGGGTTTTTAGGTTGAAATATCAAAGATAAGTCAACAGAGGCAAACTACCTTAACAATATTTTGCATAAGTGGATCTGTGGCGTTAATAATTCCAAATATTGTCATAATTTTCAGAAAACTTAACCCTTCAAGAGGCTTTTGAAACTGACGCACATGTAAAGCTAAACGAAGAGGTCAAATGAACGGAATTCGATGGTACGTTTTACAAAAAATTCAAACTTCTACACGATAGATTTTCTTCATTTTTTCCTAAAAACGTAGAAAATCGTTAGAGAGAATGGCCCATCAAAAGAAAAATAGGGGTCACCGAACGTCCAAGATCGTTAAATCCACGCAAAGTTGTAGCAGTGGCGATTTGTCTTATTATTGTTAACTTTACTACTTAGCGCGCGCGCTCGATGCATGACGCAATCTCGTTCCCAGAGTCTTCGTTCCCCTTGACCAGCGGTCGTAAAACAAGAGCTATGAGATTAACCATTTTAGGCATGCACCATGGATGCAGACTGCGCAGTGAAACCGGACGGGCAGAATCACCAGAATTCGGTTATTTCAAAATGGTTGTTCCCAAAGCTCTCGTTTTCTGACCGCTGGTCAAAGGGAACGAAGACTCTGGAAACGAGATTGTGCATGACGTGGCGTGTGAATTTTGTGCGCAGTAAGGATGCGCAGAAAGAATTAGCGCGAACGTTCTTAAATAATGACGACGGCGACTACAAGAACTAGGGCTGGAGAAAAATGAATTTATATTTTACCTTTGAAATTCTCAATTGTCTAGAACTATTCACTAGGATTAGTTAGGCGAGTGGTGTAACACCCCACTCAAACTAAAGATGTAACGCCATCGATCGATTCAAGAAGAAAATACGAAAAATTAGCCGCCGTGGCTAATGTTCTTCAAAATACGCAGAACTTAGTCATTTCACGATGTTTTTTTGCAGAGGACGGTTGCGAAATGTACCGTGAAGATTTACAACGCACGTGCACAGCTGTTGTTCTGTTCATTTAACCTTTTGCTTGGTGGTTTTCTCGTTGCCGTTGCCGTCGTGGTTTTCTTAAGTAAATCTCACTCGGGCCTTACATAAATAAACTTTGTCTGAACATCGATCCACGATTCTTGAACCTTTTCAACTTTGCTTACGTTTACTGAAGGGTATACTGACACTATAACGTAGGTTGACGATTGAAACTCAATAATGGTAGCGAACCGAGGCAAATAACAAAGCTGCAGTACCGAGGTTCGACCTTGTCCGGAATAGCATGCAAAATTAAACCTGTCTCAAAGAAAACTGGCGCCCAGCACTCAGGGAGACCGATAAACAAGCATTCCCAAAATTCCAAGCGTAGTCAATCTTTAAAAACCGATATTGGAAATTCAATCGATATCAATCGCTGATTGCTATCGATTGATATCGGCAATCGATATCGATCGATAGCTCACAGAGAAATTTCTTTATCGCCTGCTATCGATTGGCAAAAATCGATAACAATCGTTAATTCCTGTCTTCAGGAATATCGACTGTTATCGATTTTTAAAAAATCGACAATAACCACCCGGACTATTCAAAGATGGCTTTGTTATTATAATACCCGGAACAACACGGGACCTTCATCTTCAGCCGCATGCTACTAGATTATATTTTCATTTTGGCCTACTCCGAGATCTATTCTTACGTTGGTTTCCTATATTAAACGCAAATGAATTAAATCAGTAGAACACTGACGCTGTTGTTTATTTTGCTTCATATTAATGTTGCCGCTACAATTAAACTGGAGGCTTTTACTCTTCTACTCTGGGCTGAGCTTCTTCCGGCGTCGTTAACTAGCAAAGAGAGATGTAAAGCCCAAAACATTCCGTTCTTGTTATTTTGTCAATGATTGTAAAAGATATGCAGGCTATGATAATTGGCTCATTAAAGCCATTTTTTACGATAACTGCAGAAATTCTCGCGCGCTCATTGGTTAATTTTCATTGTCAATAAGCGGACAGACACATGATTTTATAATTTATGCGATGCGAGGTAGAGCGGACAATTTGACAATTTGCTATCGTAAAAAACAAATTGACATTCGTTTTTCAAGCGTCTGTCCTGTTATTGATCATAAATTTCGTCATAACATTCGTCATAACACAGCTATTTTGACAATGTTGTGACGAAATTCATGATCAATAACAAGACAGACGCATAAAAAACTGACGTCAATTTGTTATATAGACAAATTTTGTCAAACATTTTATCAGTGTATCTTGTAACAGCAATCGATAATAATCGATTCCAATCGATGAATCAATCGTTGTCTCGTGGATGCACAGCTACTTTGACAATGTTATGACGAAATTTATGATCAATAACAGGACAGACGCATGAAAAACGGTCGTCAATTTGTTAAATAGAGAAATTTTGTCAAATATTTTATCAGTGAAACTTGTAACAGCAATCGATAATAATCGATTCCAGTCGATGAACCAATCGTTGTCGATTACCATCGGCGATTGACAACTCACAGCTTTTTTTTGTTCATCGATTTTCATCGATGGCTATCGCCAATCGAATCAATCTTCGATTGATATCGATTGTTGTTATATGGCTCTGTCTCACAAGGACTGCGAACCACCAAATTCACGAATNTGCCTCGACATAAAGGACATTATATTTGTCTTTGTTATATGGCTCTGTCTCACAAGGACTGGGAACTACCAAATTCACGAATTTGATTGACTGAAATCGACATTGAAAGCCGTCTAGATTTTCCCATCTACACCGACATCTAGACCGGTAATTTTTTGCAGTGAAAAAGTTACAAACTAAAATGCGAAATCATTGACTATTTCCATCCAACAATATTTATTTATGAAAGTGCCAAAAAGCCTGCTGAGAAGAAAAAAAAATTGGTAGAATTAAATTCAGCTCATCGCCGTTCGCAAGGGAAATGTCAGTTAGCACAAACCTGTTACGTTAAACGCCGAATTAAATTGTCCTTGTTTGCCATATAATATACATCTTATAAACTGAGCTTAGTTGGTCTGTATGAGAAAATCTTGACCTCGGTCGTGTGTACAGATCTCGGTCAAGATTCTCCCATACAGACCTCCTGCTTGGTTAATAAGAGCTAATTATCGATAAAAATCGATTATCAGTTTATCGATTGACGACGCCTGGCAAAATTTTTTCTATTTTATTTTTACGATTTCCATTTCTTTTTTCTCCAAGGTGTTACCAGCTGGCATCATGGGAGTGATTTTGGTCAACAAATCAAGTCCCTCCTCGACTTTGGTAAGGCACAAATGAAAAATTCCAATTTACCTTCATACATAAAACGGGACAAATATTTTATTCACTTAAATATCTCGAAATATCGCTCTTTTCTCGTAATACAAAAACGACACGTTTTTCTGGCAACAATCAATTATATTTTGATAAAATAAGAGCAGAGCTGGAGCGCTAAGCGGAGCACCATAACTATAGGAACAGAACCACAAGCATGCATAGACAATTATTTTTTCATGGTTAACATGGCTAGTGGCGTGGATCGCTGATGCCTGTGCCCTACGATAAATAGGACCACGTCGCGCTACATGGCGGCCATACTCCAGCCACTAGTAGGTGGACCGAGGCATGCTGCCTCGATATTGGATAATTTTGATATTGAACATCCATGTTATGGTCAATTGACACCTGTCAAAAAAGGTATTCGCTGACCAGAGCCCCATGAGCATATCGCGGGCTCGGGTTTAGAGCTATTCAAGGTCACATTCTTTTTTTTTTTGAAGTTCACCGCTGCGCAAGTACTGGTTTTCTATTGAATCGAAGGCTCAAGCCACGTCAACTTATTGCAGTCAGGAGCTCCGCTTTTAGGTTCAGCTAAATCTATATATTATTGTTTCCTTGTACGTGGGGTTTACTCTGAAGTCGCTTCGATTTTGATTCATTTCAGATTAACGCCGTGAGCTCTGTGAGCATGACGAGCGTCATAGTATCAGGTATAACCGTGTATCAATATAAATGGGCTGTGGGCAGAATACTGATCGCTAACCTATACTCTGCGGGTATGTATCGGGAAGTCACTGACTTTGCCAACAAGGACGTGCCTCTTAAACTCACCGACCAGGAAAAGACTGTGGTAGCAATAAGCTCCTTGATTGCAATATTTTCCACCATTGAGGTTGCCCTCGGCCTTTGTGCCGCTTGGATCAGTGATTCTCTCTACCAGCCTCCCCAAGAGAATCAAATCAGTCAGGTATGTGAAGTACTATATCTTTTGGAGACACAAGAAATAACTTTCATACCATGGCATAAAAACTTCAGCCAATCAGGATACAAGAAAAGCGTTGCATACTCGATGGTATTATACTTAACTTTTCCATCACGCGTTGCGCATGTGTCGCATTGACTGTGTTGGCCACTGTACTCTCTATCAATTAGTAATAGCTAGTAATTGGACCGAGTGAAGTACAATTTAGGGAGTAATCGCGCGAGTAATTTCAAAATTGGATGAGCGCAATTAACATAGGCAATACAATTGCAAAAATTACAAAAATTAAAATGTAACGACTTACAAAAAGAAATTACTAACTGAAAAGAACCAGTACACAAAATCTACGAATTACGGTCGTTATGAACACTCACAAGACTCAAACAAAACAGAAGTGCTCTACAGAGTAATAAGGACCCAAATCTTCCTTTTGTGTATCCCAAACTTAGTGCAATTACTTATCCCGGTCCAGTTACTTATTAATAGTATTTATAACAAATTTCGAAATTAAAAAGGTCTTTGGGGAACTCGTTTGAGCGAAAAAGTCAGTAGCGCTTTCAATAAATTTTAATAAACGGTCCGCAATGCGTACTTCTGGCTTATGGCCAGCGCAGTGCTATTTCACGACTGGGTTGATATATTCTAGTCTTACGAGTAGGTAACTACCAAAAAGATAAAAGTAGGTAACATTAAGAAGGAAGCCATTAAGTGCACGTAATGGACGTGAGAGTCACGTGGGTATCCAATTACGGGTATCCAATGACAAAAATTTGCAAGTGGATCTATGTAATTGGACATCCAAGTGATCGTGCGCCGATTACGTGACAAATAGGCGCGCGGAGAACCAATCGCGATCAAGAATTTTGTTATAGAAAAGATTAGTCAATTAATTAATCAATCAATCAATTATTCAAGTCGTTCGCCAGTTATATTCACGGCCTCTTTACCCAATTCAAATGCTAACCGTGATATAAAGCTGTCGAAACATAATTTTTCTTTTAACTTAACTTTCAGGCAAGAAATGTGAATAACCAGTTTGGAGCCGGACAAATCCCAATGCACCCACCCTATACAGCAGCTCAGCCTATGGTTGCTGTTCCAGTACCCAGCTACAATGCCCTTAAGTAGTCAGTTTTCTTCTTGCTTTTACTCAGTTATTCTTTTAAATGAATCTCCCAACATATTTAAAATTAATATTGAACTCATCCAAATCTTTTGAAATTTTGCAACAAATATAACTTAGCATTTTGGCCTTTAGCACTGTTTC